CTTTAATGGCTTTCCCTAATACTGGAACAAAAAGACCATCTTTTTCCAAGCTTTGGATATCTGTTAAAAGAGGCTCTAAAACTCGCTGAAACCCAAACCGCTTAGTGTCGTCAGCCTTACACAGGATTGCAAGGTAGATTGATGTCAACGTCGAACGCAACTGAACCGGAATGTTCCCCAACACCCAATAGACTCCAGTGACTTTGTGCTTTTTCCGAGATGTCCCGAGAGGATTACATACCTCAAAGTCATCAATGTAAAGGATAAGACTCACTCTATTCTCCTCTGTAGCAAAAAACTCATTTTTCTGATAGTGAGAGCCATCACGAAATGTCTGGTATTTCAAATCATTTTCAGATTTGTCTTTACCTTCAAATGTGTTTTCTTGAAAAGACTTTGTTAGGACCTGCACCAATAAGGGCAATATTGGGACATACTGGAAGGTTTTGCCCTCTTTTCTATCAAGAATGTGTTCTTCTGGTTCAATAACTGAAAAATTCTTCTTCATGAATTCTCTTCTCTTGTATGAAGTTCTGAAGGGGCCACCTGTCCCTAAGGCAGAACTTATAGGGTGTGTCTCACAAATCTTTTTCACCAGATCTGAGATAACGACTGGATCCAGGTCAGAATTATGGCTTTTTAAGGTGGACACCACCACATCTCTTAAAAGTGGACCAGATGCAGAGGTGGATATAAACTGAAGCTCATCCACCATTTCATCAATACATTTCTTTGGAACATTGTACATGCTTTCCAATTTTAAAAAGAGCTGGCCAAATTTCTCCTGTATATCTTGAGACAACTCTTGTGGTTCCCCATCCAACAACTCTAGGCTCTCGTCCACACTGGTGTCATCCTGAGCAAACGTGGCTTCATGAGGTTGGCTTTTTAATACTTCAGTCTTAAAATCCTCAAGAGTGTGTGAGTGGTGTTTTCTGTGTCTATGAGTGGCAAACGTGGAATAAATATTTGTAATGAAGTTGCAGTTTTTGAAGACGCATTCAACAGCTTCAAACTTTCTCAAATGGCTGCCAAGATGTTCAAAATACTGCTTCTCTGAATCAAAAAAACCAGAGCAGCAAAGACGACAAGTAAATGAAAGAGGTCCACATTGAGTGACCGCCTCTACATGGTGTCGAGACAAATGGGTTTGAAGGGCATTACATGTTTTAAATGAGCAAGGACAACCACTGTAAAGACAAGGGACTGATTGGCTACGACCACCACTTCCATGTTTTAGCCTGTAGTGTTTCAATAATCCCAACCTCTTCTCTGACTCAAAACTACATATCTTACACTTCCATCTCATCTTGTCACCTGAAACATTAATGCAACATCTCAAAATTAAACCCAAATAACCAAGGAATTATGACGTAAACCTAAACATTACTAATTTGATCTTACCTTGTGTCAGCTTTGGAGTCCAAATCAGCAGTCAGAAAGTCCAATGTTCTGCATTAAAAAAAAATATATAAATCTATATGATTTTAACTAATTTCAATCAAATCATGAATTCACACTGATATTGATAAAAACATTAAAACGTACATATAATGTATTACAAATTATGTTTCCCCCTCTCTCTCTCTCTCTCTGTCTTTCTCTCTCTCTCAAAGTCATTCATATTCAATAACAAGGGGCTACACATAGACCAATACATTTCTCCAGAAATTACGACTCCAACAGTGGCATACTATATAGTGATCGAGGATGTCCCGTGCGCATTTAGACAGGTTGATGTGAACCGCGTGGTCCAGGTTTAAGATTTGTGAACTTTTCAGTCAATAAAATGACACCACACTTCAGGAGTAATGGAGATATCGCACACGCACAGATCACCAATAAGAGCATGTGTAAAAGCCTCTTTCAGCAAGTGTCTGCATTAAGGATGGCGAAAACTAAACATTTTCTTAATCGACCACCGAGCCTCATTAACCGGTTAATACTGGTTAACCGCATACTAGAATACTAGTACAGCCATTTCAATCTGCGCCTGCCCCTCTCTACCTCCTGCTCACAAACACAAGCTGCCCCGGTGCTCCCTTCAAGCTCTGTATCAGACAACTGACATCTGTGTGATCCTTTTTGGTGAAATTAAGATTAATTATGGACGCACAGGGGAAACGTGGTCGCTTTGGGGACGTAAAATCACCCACAACACAGAAAACAGCGGCCAATGACACAAATAACACCTCAGCTCCACCTTTACATTTCTCTGTCAAAACAGCGACACACACACAACTAATTTCATGGCCACAGCCCCATCAGCACAACTTTATATCACCAACATTTCACCAGAAACACTTTTTCCAGCAACATTTCAACAGTTTAGCATCGACACTTACGGAGTTTGGAGACGACACGTTAAGCTAGTTCTCGTATTAGCTTCTCTTTGCTTTCTCCTCCGCCTTCTCCGTGTTTTGGTTTAGTGTCCGTCACCTTTTCTTATTAAAGCCATAGAAATGCGTCCTGGATCTTCGTGTCACTGACGTTTATCTCCTCAAGTGTTTAGCCTGTAGCTCATCTTTTTTTTTTTTTTTTTACTGACAGCTTCGACGGGTTAACGCCGACACGGTCAATCACCGGTCAAACGGTCACCGGTTAGCATCCCTTGTGCATGAAACAGTGCATTTACAAGAACAAACAGTCGTCCTTCAGCGTTTTCTTGCGAATTCCTAATACGGACATACCCCATGCTGCCCAAGTTAGCTAGCTTAGCCATTCAGCCACATAGCTAGCAGGAACACTACTTGCTAGCGCCACAACCGTCGATACTTTCAGTGTTGAAAAGCTAACAGTAGGTGAACCAGCAGGAACATGCAAAATTTGTTTCTCTAAACTCACCTTCAGAGGTCCATTTCACGCTCCGGTTTCGTCCATTAACTCTGCAAGTTGAAATGTGAAACATGTTTCACCAAAGACCGCTCAAATGTGTGGGGAGGGGCTTTGAGGTCATGCTCTGATTTACTGATATAATTTATTAGATTTTACTTTGAAATGTCAACTAATTAAGCCAATTAACTTGTTTAGTAAATATTATTTGGATCCAATGATTTAATTTACATACAAAACTAAAGGCCGATAATTACAAACAATCACAAGTAATTCACAACATGAAAAACAGCTATTTTAAAGTAAAAGCACAATACTTGTATTTTTTTTTTAGATTTTATATAGACATTCTCAATAAACATTACAGGGCCAAAAAATGATTTTTCTCAGTGAACGAACCAGGACCTGCAACATGCACTGGGACGGTTTGCAGCCGAGTGTGAAGCGGCTGGGATGAGAATCAGCACCTCCAAATCCGAGGCCATGGTGCTCGACCGGAAAACGGTGCTTTGCCCTCTCCAGGTGGGTGGGGAAGTCCTTCTTCAAGTGGACCCGGCAACGAATGAAGCAAAAGAGGATGGATGGATGGATTTACGAGCTGCTAAACTTAACATTCCAAATGGCCGTTTTGTAACAAAGTCCGTATTCTCAAAGTCCATCCATCCATCCATCCATTTTCTACCCTTTAATCCATTTCTGGGTCAGGGCGGTGGCAATCAGAGATGCCACCCAAGTCTCATAGCACCAGCCCCTCACTGACCCTCTGCAGGTGGTGAGTCCACAGGAGGACGGCTGCTCTCTGAGTGTGAGCATAGCCTTGATCTTTCAGTGGGGGCTTTGGGCAAAGTGGGGTTAAGTGTCTTGCCCAAGGACACAACGACAGCAGTCATCAGTGGGAGTCGGTGGAGAAGGTGTAGAGGTGGGAATTGAACCCACGACCTTCAGGCCTGAAGGCCAATGCTCTACCAACTGAGCTACTGTCGCCCTTCTCAAAGTCAAGACTGCCAAATAGCAGTTCATCCCAGTTTCAAGCAATTTGCAAATTCAGCATTATTCGGATCTCAGATTGAAAATTGTTCCAGAAATAATGGATCAATTAACACGACCAGAACAGATGCAGGTGGTCGGCCCCCTCTGTACCGCAACTCCTAAAAAAACCTGCTCAAGCATTTCTGCTAAAGCATCTCCATGAATTTGCTTTTGTGATTTTCCATTGGATCGCACAGTGTTTTGACCAAGTTTCTGATAGCTGTAATTTGCCTTTATCACCCATTTTGTTTATGTATTCTGTATTTAATTTGGAGAGTGCCTGGAAGCCCTTATAGAGTTGAGAGATTATTTTAAAACCTGAGTCATCCTGAGATATGAATATGTTCAAGATTGGTATGTGAACTCCTCTGGCTCTATTTATGTAGTGGCAAATTTGTAGGAACCTGAAGAAGTCATTTTTCTCCAACTCATAACGTCTTCGAGTAGAGTTAAAGTCTCTCATGCTCTCCTTATTAAAAAGTGAAAAAGTGCAATATGCAGTCAACCTTGACCAGTCCAGCTTTTGTAACTCATATCCAGTTGGCTCGGCACAAAATCTAGGTCATTAGGGGCCCCCCTTAATATTTTGACCTGATCATAAAGGTTGTGTTTTTTAACACATTTTAGCTTTAGTTTCAATGATAAATTTAGCCATTGGTTTTCTTGCTGCATCTGTTTCCTAATGAGTCTTCTATCCCCCAGTATGGCCGGGAGTGGACAACTATCAGAAAAGCTCATTTCTATTTCTTTCCATCTGGCTTTGTATTCTGTGTCGCACCAGCACACAAGGACTCTAAACTGGGCTGAAGTGTAATAACCCCTGAAACAAGGGCAAGTCCTCTCTTTTGGCAATTGAAGAGTCTTTAACCTTAGTCTTGGTCTTTTCCCTTGCCATATGAATTTAGATATTAACTTATCCCAATGGTTGAATTAATCATTGGACATTTGAATGGGGAGTGTTTGGAAGACAGAAAACATCTCAGTGTGATGTCATAGTGGTACAAGACATTATTCATGCCAAATGTTCCTGATAATAGTGTGGATAGATCTAAACACAACTCCAGGTCTGTGACTTATGGTGTGTTGTAACATGGATAATTGGTCTGTGTCCCTCAGCCTGTAGAGCCATTGTGGATGAGATGACCTTCTCCATCCGTAAAACCGATCCAAAGAAAACCATCACCGTTGGCAGCTTCAGGCTCAGCCCCGACGGGACCATGCAGGACAAAAAGGTAATCTGCCCCCACTTATGGAAGCGCTGAGTTCTAAACCTGCTTTAGTCCTGCGCCTTGTGTCCCCTGTGAAGGAGGCTCTTATGACGCTGCTCTTTCGCCTCTATCCAGTGGGACTTCCAGCACGGCAAAAAAAAGTCCCAATAACCTTAGAGCTGCGTTCGAGGCGTTTGCTCAGAGACATTGAACTTGTAGAGCACACATGCACACACACGGGTAGAAATGAACATTTATTTTTGTCAAAAGGAAAAAACAATTTTAATGTTATTATTCATTCAATAACATAATTATTCATAATAATAATTATAGTATGATTATGTACTAATCATAATTATATTATGATTATTATTATTGACAAATTTGTTATTAGTGCATCAATACTGCAATGTTAAATCTTACAGTACAGTACAATGCACTACAGTTGACTACACAGCCACACGCTGAATTGGAAAAGATTATTTATTTATGCAATCAGGGATTGTTTTAAATCTCGCATGTCGTAGAACACTGTTTTTTATGCACTGCCCTCTATTTTTGAGTGAAAAGAAGGCATTATGTATTAGTATAGTAGTAGTTTATTAAAGCTGCACTAACTGACTTTGGGATTTTGAAGCCGCGGACTCGCTGGCCTCGCTCTTTCTGCTCCCCTCCCCGCACCCACGAAGCTATTGCCCCCCACACACACCCACTGTTGAGACGGAGCTAGCCTCTCCCAATATGGATAATACATGGATATGGATTTTCACGTGGATGGTGTGACCATAGAACGATAGAACCGGGAAGCGCGGAGGAACGAGACTTTCTTTTGGATGGCTGTTTCGCTGTGTAAGCAGTAACCGGTGACGAAGACGAGAAAGTTTCAGGTTAGCTCCGCCGCTTGTTGTGCTAACTCAGCTGTCTGTGCTAACGGACCTGGAGATTTCTCACGAAAGTGGGGGCTAGTGGTCCGCTGTGATTGGTCACAATCTGCGACCCGAAACACATTCTCTTCCTTGTTTCATCAAAACTCGATCGAAAATATAATGTCAGGCCAGCACAAATCTGCGCTACTTTTTCTTCAAAAGGACGTATATCCCAATGCACTACATGGACATGGATAGCATTTTCGTAATTAATACGAAAATAAAGTCAGTTAGTGCAGCTTTAACATGTACATTAAAGCTCAAATCATACGTTTTCAATGATTGTACATTTTTTTATGTTTTAATAGTTCTAGAGCCCTTAAGTTGAATAGGTAGACTGTTCCATAGATCAATAAAAAACATTGGAAATTGGCACATTTGTTTAAGATATTGTACATAGAGATAAAGAGCAGACAATGTGTATCAATATTTTTTGCTATATTGCCAAAAATATAGAGGTGCAAAAACAAGTGACATTAGAAAAATTACACCACTCTAATATAAATTCATTCATTTAAAAATAAAATAAAAGTGAACTACTTTTCATTAAAATATTAACACGCATAGATAAAATCTTTATTGATCCCCTTAGGAGAAATTCAGGTGTCCAGCAGCAAAAAATACATTTATATAAACACATGAGTACGTCAATTAGAAATATTTCTAACTACCTACCTAACAATAGTGCATATTTTTAACTCATTCAGGTCTGTCGTACAGTCTCTCAGATGAAGGAACAAAGGATCTTGCGCAGTGATATAAGCCTGTTGCTACGATTACTGCTGTCATTATATAAAACATGTAATTATTATTACTGTTTTTATTAAAACAATAATAATAATGCGATCAATGTTTGGACATCAGGTACAGGTGGGGAAAAGGCACTCACTACTGATAGATGGGTCCTGACGGACGTCCAGTTATCTCCAGGTCACATCATGAGTTAACATGACATTCATGCGATTAATCGCAATTAAATATTTTCATTGTTTGACAGCACTCAATCTAACAAAACCATTACGTTACCAAAAGCCATTACGTTACCATAAACCTAACACACATACATTTAAGTTGTGAAGTATTAATAATTTTGTGACTGGTTTAATTGCCTTTTCTGTCATTAATGACTCATCTGATCCCAAATACTCAAGTACAAATGCTCGAGTATTACAATTCCCCAGTATTTTCATCTCGCGGTCTGTCACTGTCGTGATGTGCAGATAGGACAAAGGCGTTGAGTGAAAGCGTCTTTAGTGCTGTTTGTCCTATGGAGAGTCCTCCCTCCCCCCCTCTTCTGCCCCTGTGACTGACGGGTCCCTTTCTCCCGGTGCCCCAGCCGGCGCCCCTCCACCGCGGCGCTGATAATGACTGAGGCCCAAACATCCGCCGCTGTCAGCTCACATCCTTTAGACGGGCTCTATTATGACTTATTAATCAGCTCTAATGAAGAGGGCGGGCTCTAGGCTGACCTCTGCCAGCTTACACCTGCATAGTCAGGGCTTAAAGCTGAGGTCTTTGAAGCTGGGGTCTGTAACTTTAGTCCCATAACTGACACATGTTTAAAGCTGAGGTACTTGAGTCTCTCCAACACAGGCTGCATCTGGAGCGTGAGCTTGACAGGCAGATAGGAGCAGCGTGTGCAGTGATGCGGCCGTTGTATCAGACTGTTGTGGTGAAGAGGCAGCAGCGTCTGCAGAGTGGCTGGGCGCTAACTTGGAGATGCGGTGAGAAGTTCAGTAATGCGGGAGGAGCTCAGAGTAGAGCCACAGCTCCCTTAGAGACCAGGTGAGGAGTACAGTCACATGAGAGGAGATCAGAGTAGGCAGCACTTTCAGTGGAAGACTGAGGCAGCCTCAGTGATGGGAGCCCTACCGCAGGGCCTTCAGCCCCACTGCTTTCAGACTGTACAATACGACACTTAATGACCTGCACTAGGACTGAAAATTTGCACTACTATAGTCACTTCTTAATATTAATTATACATATAATACCTTTTATTGCACAAGTTTCACTTTTCACTTATTGTATTTACACATTTCTTGTCTTTGTGCACACCCTGAGTGGTCCTATCTATGCCAAACGTGACATGTAAATTTCGCCATTGTGGGATCAATAAAACTTTATCTTATCTTGGAGAGAGAGGACCTCAGTCAGAGCAGGAGCTCAAAGTAGAGCCGCTGCTCCCTTAGAGATAGGGTGAGGAGCTCAGTAGAGCCACTGCTTCAAGCCACGTGCGTCAAGAGGAACCAGTTGAGGTAGGTCATCTGTTTTGGGATAACTCCTGGACACCACACAGAGGCCTTCCAAGTTCAGCTGAGACACACGTTCTGTGTCCTGGTTTCCTCCAGAAATAATATGTAATCGCGATAATAGAATTGGCCCCCTGTTTATTGTGCAGCCTTTCAAAAACAGAAAAGGCGCCTGATCCCAAACACAGCTTAAGAGCCTGGTCCACAAACACAGCTCTAGAGCCTGGTCCACAAACACAGCTCTAGAGCCTGGTCCACAAACACAGCTCTAGAGCCTGCTTCACAAACACAGCTTTAGAGCCTGCTTCACAAACACAGCTTTAGAGCCTGCTTCACAAACACAGCTTTAAAGCCTGCTCATCAAACACAGCTTTAGAGCCTTCTTCAGAAACACAGCTTCAAAGCCTGCTTCACAAACACCGCTTTAGAGCCTGCTCATCTAACACAGATTTAGAGCCTGCTCCAAATACGTTGAAGTGCTCATTGTGAGTGTTAGGTCTACATTGAGGTGCGAAATGTCAAACATCTCAGTATAAAACAAAAATCATGTTCAGTGAAGTTATTGAAGAAGAATATTTAGACACAAGCTGATTTCAGAGCACCACCACACAGGCTGGAGGTCCAATAACCCTGTTTCAAATGGTTTTAACAGTCCTCAGTGAAGGGGCCTTTTGTATGTGAGCTAGTGTTGTGCTCCAAAACTGCAGGGCACGCACTGAGAACTGATCTTGGTGGGACAACTCGATAACTTGAGGCAGCAGATCTGCTGAGGGATCAGGTCAGAAGCCAGGTGAGCATCTTGGAACTCTCCAGCTGCGTCCCTAACCCATTATGGGGCAGATGGGGGACCTCTGGTTTGTGTCGGGGAGCTTGGCCCGGAAGCCTCAGCAGAAAAGACACAATGGGACGCTCTGGGAATAAATCTACATTGTTGAGAAAATCCGTGCGTTGTCCCCCCTCCCAGAGCCCCCCGTCCCCCCTCTCCTCCGAAGCCCAGGATCAGGCCTTTCAGAGCAGACACTTCCTCTTTGATCGCTAGAGAGAGGAACGACACGGGTCAGAAAGTGATCCACAAAATGCACTTTTCTTCAGTAGCTCCTGTCCACACTGTGACATGTCCTCTGAGCTCAGACAGCTTCTCCAACAGAAGTACACCAGTGGTAACAGCTGTGTGTTTCATTGTGCACAGATGTGTTTAGTATCAGTGTCTTTGTGTACAGATGTGTTTAGTATATTTGCTTTGCATGTCTTTGTCCCGGCTGGGGTCAGCCTCAGGTCAGCCCTTGGGTCACTGTGTCATTGTCACAGCGAGTATCTCCTTCTGAGAAGCGTCTTAGAAAACTCCTCCAGCTTGAGTCTAGAAAAGGACTGTCAGGCTGCTCTTCCGCTGCTTTCACTCCCTCACAGACCCCTGACCCTCGGAGGTTTGAGGCTTCCGGGCCAGGGAGGGAGTGAGGGGCCGTACCTGTCTAGACATCAGCACATCACGCTGTCCAGTCAAAGGGACCAGGTCCATCGCAGTACCAGTGAGAAGGATACCATGAAGTGTTAACCACTATATGTGGCCCCAGATCTGAGCTACAGTGGGACAGTAGTTAGTCAGTCCTCCCACTTGAACATTGCAGACAGCTCTTATCTTTTTATCATAGGTAAACCTCAACATTGAGAGACAGCATGATTATGGTAGAAACACACTGTTGCTGGTATTTTAGCTCATTCCTCCGGCATATCTCATTCAGAGCAGTGATGTGTTGGGGCTGTTGCTGTCAACTCCCTCCTTTTCTATGAAGCCGCTGCTGGACGTTGAAATACTTCCTTCAGTGCCTGCCTGTGTTTGGGATCATTGTCATGCTGAAAGACAGACTCCCTTGCTGAGGTGTTCACTTCAAACATCACCATACCCTCGCTGATGGAAGGAGGTGTTCACTCATGGATCAATGGTCCTGGTCCCTTTGCAGACAGGTATCTCATACCTAGTGGAGGACAGGTCTGTGAGAGAAGGACATCCTTATATGTATACCATCAATTGCAAATAAATTCTTTAAAGATGACTGATGATGAATCATGATTTTCTGTATGTTTCTCCTCATATTGTGTCTCCAGTTGAAGTTTATCTATGATGGAAAGTACTTCATAGATGTCATCTGAGAACGACATGTGTTACAAGGCTCTTAAGTGTATCTTTTGTCCCTCAGGTCCCCCTGGCTCGCTCTGAGCTGCACCTCTCTGAACTCTTAGATGGAGTTTGTGATAAAATGAACGACTATGCTTTGCACAAAGACCCTGACACACAGGAGTCAAGCTACAGACGCTTTGCCCCCAGAGATGGACAAGGTATGGGCGACCTGCCCGACTTCAGCCACTTCCAGTTCCAGGGACCAGAGGCCAACGCACTCAAGTTTGCAGTAAGTGAAGCCTGGGTCTGAGTACACAAGAAACCAGGTTTGTACTGGGGAGTCCACAAGAAGAGACCAGGTTTAGACTGGGGAGTCCACAAGAAGAGACCAGGTTTAGACTGGAGAGATCACAACAGACCAGGTTTTAGACCGCGGCGTCCACTGCAGAACCAGATAGTCCAGTTAAAATATGCATTATATATTGTCTATTAAATATACACATTAGGGATGGGAACCCAAGGGTACCTCACGATACGATACGATACACGATACAAAGCTCACAATAAGGATAACAATTTTATCACAATATGACGATTATCGATATATTGGTCAGAAATATACCATATGCCAATTTATGGCATAAATAAAATAAATGTTAAGTGAAAAAATACACTTTATTTCATGATAAAGGGAATGGAGATGCGTAATGTAGCCATATATTAAGTATTGATACTAATAAATAAAAAATAATAATAATAAAAATAAAAATAAAAATTGATATTGATACTTGGCAAATGCATATCGATAATCGAATCGCAGGAGAAAGTATCGCGATATGTCGTCACACCCCTAATACACATTTCATGGAGCCCTTTTCCACAGCTTTGGTGGTCAACGATGACTATAGCCACAGCTGCCCTGGGGCAGACTGATACAATCAAGAGTGTGCCAACACATGCCAATCAAGCTGACAGTTTAGAAGCGTAAACTTGCCAGCAACTAACGCCTCTTTAAGCTCTTGCAACCACCACCTCCTGCCTCCAAAAAAGCACTATATAAAGCAATAGTAATAATTATTAGGTCGATCCATCCACGAGGCCTACTGTTATTTGCCGGTTTCATATTATTAATTTTTTACAAACAATTCGATTTTTGACCCTGAAGACATGCACGAATGTTTGCACATGGGATGTCTAAAACAACCGGCTCTGCGAAAAATTTCTTAAAACCAACGTTTCCAGATTGTCCGACAAACGGCAACTCAATAGCGCCCCCTGGAAAACTTAAATTTGCAAAGCCTATGCGAGCCAGACATGCATATTTTGGAGTAGGTACATGATATTCAGATCAGTGATAGATCTGAGACGAGCCTAAAACTCTCTTTGAGCCTCATTCCGGGACAAACAGGAAGTCGGCCATGATAGTCTTAAGTTTCGCCCCCAATTTGGCTTTTAATTTTTTGATTCGTACTAGTCCCTGGTTTTTCATCTCAAATTTGCATAGCCTATGGGAGCCAGACATGCATATTTTGGAGAAGGTACACGCTATTCAGATCAGTGATAGATCTCTGAGACGAGCCGAAGGCCCCGTCCCAAATCTGAGGGCCCTCCAGGTGTGGCCCTCACCAGAAAAGTGCCATCCCATAGGGGAGTGCACTCACAGGATATTCTCCCTAAGAATTGGGACACCGCTGGATCTAGGGGACAATATGCAAATGACGGTGTTCCACGTCACACGCATTATCAATGTGTCAGATTTCACCACAGATAAGATCTGACAGAGATATGATTAATTCTATTTCATATGAAGATTTTCTATAATTAGGTACAGAACTACTTTACATCACGCACTCATAGAGACAGACGCACACACGCACACTGTCTTTGTTTAATTGAAAGTAGCTTCTATATATCAAGCTACTTTAGACAGGATTTTGTAACTTAGCTTCCTACATTTTTATGGGTGGTAGCTTCTGTGTAGTGTGAATTTATTGTAGAGTAGCTTGTAGCTTAGCTCACTACACATATTGTAGCTTTCCCATCACTGTTGAAGTTATCCAATCATCTCTAAAAAGTTACATTATCCTCGTTGTTTTCATGCGAGGTGGTGGGCAATTTTTTGCGAGTTTGATGCCCTCCTGGCCACAGGCTCAGACCTACAAAACTGAAACCCACGTCACTAACAGTTGACAATGGCCTGAGCGTAATGGTGTGAAAATACACATGTAAAATGACTCTAGAGCGCCACCTAATGTAAGGCTTCTGATCTAAACTTTTCCGATCCTCACTAAAGTCGCACAGTCAAATCTTTACATCCGTAAGAGCAAAATACTATTTTACGTAGAGGGTGCATGTCCTGGAGATGACCACTAGGGGCACACTGAACCCTAAAAATGAGCTTTTACTGTGTCTAATCCTGGTCCAATTGGGCTGCCAATTCGTTGGCAGGTACGACGCATGCCCTTTGTGGGACTAGTGCCCAGGAGACCCTGAAGACGGGCACAAATGTTCGCACATGGGGGGTCTAAAATTTTCAATAAATGAACGTTGCCCCCTAGAAATTCCAGTAGAGAATCAAAATTTGGATCAGTGATAGATCTCGGAGACAAACATAAAAGCCGGTCTGTGCACATGTCTGGGACCAACAGGAAGTCAGCCATGATGGGATGAAGTTTCGCCGCCAGTTTGACTTTTCATTTTTGGATTCCTTAAAGTCCTTGGTTTTTCATCACACAGACTTCTACCACGTGATTTCCTGATCCGGACGGATTGAAGTTATACAAACATCAATTAAAAATTTGGAATTCTTCAATGTTTTTGGCCCACGCCATGGCAAATAAGGCCTTCGTTTTGGCCATTTTCGCTGAGCCCCGAGGGCCACAGGCTCAGAGCTACTGAGCTGACACTCACATCAGTTATATTAGGTTATGGCCTGAACGCACTGATACTAAAATCACACGCCCAATATGAGCTCTATAGCGCCACCTGTCGGACAGGAAAAGGGCACTAGTGCCCGGATTGGCCTGAGAATTGCTGAGTGTAATTGCTGGACCAAGACAAGCAAAACATTGCATTAAGCAAAAGTTGTAAGTCCCACACCTGACCACTGGGGGTGCCACAAAGTGGTTAAATAAGCTTTTTGGGGCAAAATGTTTGCCCGATGAGGCTAGAAATGAATTCACATGACCCTGAACACAACAATATGCAACACACACCTGTGAGTGCAACAGCGCCACCTACAAGAAGTTTAAGGTGTTGTGTTTTTGAATTTCAACCAGTAATAATTTCTCCATCTGGACGGATTGAAGTTATACAGCCATCATGAAAAAGTTAGAATTTCCTCCTCATTTTCATGCGGTGGTGGGGAATTTCTCCTTGTTTGTTGCTCCTGACTACAGGCTCAGACCTACAGAGCTAAAACTCGCATCACTAACAGTTGGTAATGGCCTGAGCGGAATAGTGTGAAAATACACACCTAATATGACTCTAGAGCGCCACCTATGGAAGGCTTCTGACCTAAACTTTTCCAATAATCTCCAAAGTTGCACAGTCAAATCTCTATATCTGCGCGATCAAAATACTACTTTACGTAGAGGGTGCATGTCCCGGAGGTGACCACTAGGGTTGCACTGAATCCTATTAATTCGCTTTTCCGTGCCTAGTCCTGCTCCCATCGGGCTACAAATTCACCGTCAAGTACGCCGCGTGCCGCTTGTTGGGACTGGCGCCTGAAGGGCGGCTGTGAGAGTGGCAAGGCCTTTTATCGCCGCTGCGGCTTCAATTTACGCACACACATACACACGTTGGTTTTTAGGTTATCTACCAGTCGCAGTCATGGTCAGCTCTCAGTGGTGTCTTGTGGTTAGAATTCAGCTGTCACTGTTGTTCCTCGAGTTTGATTCCTGGAATTCCCAGGGATTCCTGGGAGAATTTAAATGTGTCTCCACCAAAGCTGAAAGCAAACATACGCCATTGCTCTCTGTTGCCATCATGATGTCATTTTTGTGTTCTCAGTGTGAGACTATTCGAGAGGAGCTGGAGGACGACATCATCGCCCTGCTCAAGGAATCATCCGACGTGGAGCAGGAGCTGTGTAGAGGAGTCTCAGGTACAGGAGCAGTCAGCAGGAGCTGTGTAGAGAAGCCTCAGGTACAGGAGGGGTTAGCAGGGGTCAGTAGGAGCTGTGTAGAGAAGCCTCAGGTACAGGAGGGGTCAGCAGGAGCTGTGTAGAGGAGCCTCGGGTACAGGAGGCGTCAGCAGGAGCTGTGTAGAGGTGCCTCGGGTACAGGAGGAGTCGGCAGGAGCTATGTAGAGGAGCCTCGGGTACAGGAGGAGTCAGCAGGGGTCAGCAGGAGCTGTGTAGAGAGGCCTTGGGTACAGGAGGAGTCGGCAGGAGCTGTGTAGAGGAGCCTCAGTTACAGGAGGAGTCAGCTGGAGCTGTTTAGAGATGCCTCGGGTACACAGCAGGGGGTCACCTGGAGGTCACCAGGGGTCAGCAGATGTGTGACATCATCAGATGTTTTCAGTGATGTTTGTCTATGATTTAAGAGTGTGTTGGTCTGTGTCCCAGGTTACTGTGTAGATGGTGGTCATGGAAACGAGGAGCTGTGATTCTGATGCCGAGCTTTACGACTGAATAAAACCAAAAACCTGTGTCTGGGTCCTTCTTTAAATAGATTTTAGTAACGAGTAGGGTGTGTAGTGATTTTTACTCTATAGTATTAGTTTTTTTCCTGTGGTATGTTACTCTGTATCAGATTAAACTGTGTTTGTTGTTGGGATTGTCAAACATGTTAATCTGCTGGAAGGGTTTGATCACCGGGGTGGGAGGATCAGTTTAACACCATGTTTTTACTGTGAAAGACCACAACAAAGTAAAGGACATCAAATGATACTTTTGTTATTTTTTAATGATTCAAAAGGTGAAAAGGGGGGAGGGGGGGGCTGTGCAAAAGTATTAATACAATTGTGGACCCCCCTATTCACTGCAGTCACTGATAAGTCTTTTAGGGTCTGACTGTACAAGCTTTCTCATCTAGAGACTGACAAATTGACCTAATCCTCTTCAGCATTCCACAGCAGTTTCACATGCTCAGCTCTGGATTGGGGTTTGCAAACATCAGTTCTACTTCCAATAAGGTCCTGTATTTATTGGGGGGTCCACCTCCATCCCATTACATGGTATGGGATGGAGGTGGACATAAGCTTCAAAGACAGTGCGACAAAAACAACACAATTTCACAAGTGAACTTTGAAAACGGAAGGACTCAGTCTCCTCAACCTTTTTGAGCGATGGCACACCTTTTCCATTGAAAGATATTATGTGGCACCCAATCAGCTTAATTAACAATGCAAAGTAATTATCCAGTGTATTGAATAATCAAAAGAAAAATACATTTTCGGTCTTTCACATTATTTTCTTTTATTTTTATCATTTAGGCAATATTGGATCATTTTCAAAGGCACACCAGACAAAATCTAAAGGCACATTAACTGGCCATGGTACACCGGTTGAAAACTCTGGTCTAAGGAACTAGGACCAAACCAGGTTTGAACCAGGTCGGTCTGAACAAGGACTTACACAATCCGCATGACATTTCACCTTTTCCCTCAGAACCGTCAGTTCAAAAGTCACACTATTCTGGACTCTTTGTGATTCTAATCCAGGTTTCCCAAGCAGTGGTGCATGACCCTTTGGAGCTCACTCATCCCTGTCGGGTGTTTTCGGCACAGCTTTAGGAAACCTCACTGTTCACAGCTTCTAAAGCTTTGAGTCAAACACCAGCTAAATATCAGGACAATTAAAGATATTACCTAAGTCAGAGGCACAAAACAACAGAGTAGGGAGAGAGACAACATTGAGGCATGTTCTGAACACAGGACAAAGAAGATGTGGGACTTTGGGACAGTTTTTTTTATTTTTATTTTTTTATGTGGATTGTTCTATTAATTACTTTACTATTATGAATTACTGACCGTAGTTACCAGGAGAGATGTTTCAGCTGCTCACCACAATGTGAAACTCCCACTTTTGAGTGTGTGATATCACTTGAACACAAACTTCAGAAAATCATAAATGGTTGAATGATTAATTAATGAAAGCGTGTAAACCTCACAGAGGTCTCCAAGGGAGCTCTGTGAAGCCCTTTGACCTCTGACACTGGTCAAACACGCACAAATATATACCATACATGTATTTACAAACCCCTTTAACTCAAACACACGTACCCTTTAACAACAGACGATTATTGAAAAGAACTGTTTTTCTCATCGTTTATTATGACTCTGAGATCTGTACATGAGGCATTCAGCGTTTCAAATACGGTTTTTACATAAGGCTGAGGTTCAGGCAGACTCGGAGCCAGTCCCCGTGCGTGTGCGTCTGTGTTTGCATGCACATGTGCGTGTGGGTTAGAGAGTGTGAATCAGAGACTGGCTACAGCTTATTGCAGTAAAATAACTTATGTAAACACATAGCTTCAGGATCAGTATAAATATAAAGTCTCTTACAGGTCCAACACACGAGCCCTGGGACAGCAGCGGGCACGGGCTGAAAAACACTTATAATGGAATATATAATACTAACGTTTCTACTAAGATATGAAACGATCTGAGAAAAAATATATTTAGAATTTAATTCATAAAAAGATCAGTTCGTGTTCATGAGGTTCATCACTGATTATTTCTATAGTTTTGTTTGGATGCAGAGAACCAGACTCCACTAGTGGCCTATACCCAGAGAGTCTGAGGACCGAGCTCCACTGGCGGCCTGCATTCAGTGAGAATCAGGGCGAAGCAGACCCAGGTTTTAAACATGAAACAAAAGTCTTTGGTTTTGGCTCAGGTCAGCAGCACGTGCCCTGGACTCTCTGCTGATCCACACTAGCACGAGCTGCACATGCACAATGGTCATGTGTTTAGAGCTATGACCTAAACATCCATCCCATATTGATACTCTGCGCGTCCCTTGCGGTTCACGTCAAATATGGATCAAGAGGAAGAACATGACGTCACGCGAGGCGTTAAAATGCTGCAACTATAGGCAATGGGTCCTAACCCACCGACCGTACAGCCTATAGTATAAACTGATGCTGTGGTCCTGTTCTCCGGACCAGAGTCCGAAACCGCGAGCTGCGAAGCGTTTATGCCGCGGTGCGTGTCGGGCGCTTAGTCGCTGTCGGAGCGCTCCTTGCTGGAGTAGTGAGTGGAGGTGGAGTGGGGGCATGTGGAGTGGTTGTACAGGCCCTGCTCCATCAGCTGCTGGGCCAGGGAGCCCCCAGTCGCCTTCTTGATCTTTGCGCGTTTGTTCTGGAACCAAATCTTGATCTGAGATTCGTTCAGTCCCAGCTCATGTGCGAGACTCGTGCGCCGGGCCTCTGTCAGGTATCTGTTGGTCTGGAACTCGGTCCTGAGTCTCTGCAACTGCTCCGGACTGAAGGCCGTGCGAGGCCGCTTGTCGTCCTTAGGCTCCGGGGACTTTTTCTGCCTCCGAGACCTGGGGCCTGGACACGAAACACAGTGTGAGAGATGGGAAACACACCGAGGAGCTCTGATATCATAGACCGTCCTTAAATATCAGTCATTATGTACACGTTGTATATATGTGTATATATATATATATATATATATATATATATATATATATATATATATACACACATACACACACACAGTAAATGTCTTGATACGAATATATTATTATTATTATTATCATTAGTATTATTACTATTATTAATATAATAATAATAGTAATACTATGAAAGACGCGTTACAAAGGGACAGCTTAAAGAGAAACTAAATAAAAGCTAAAAGAAACAGTTACATTTGAAGCGCATATATATATATATATATATATATATATATATGCGCTTCAAATGTAACTGTTTCTTTTAGCTATTACACCCTTATTTCTATTACTATATTTATTTTCCCACAGGAGTCAGGCTCTGGTGACGTCATAATTCTATTGAATTAAATATGAGTTTGTGAGCTCGCGGGGTGCGGGGATGATGGACAACTCCTTCCATCTCTGATCCCATCATTTCAAAACAAACGCGTCAAAGCCACAAAAGTTTGAGCTGAACAAAGAGCCCGCGGAAACTCCACAATCCAATTATATTATCTCACTTTAGAACCGCCTCACCCGAACCCGTGGATACCCCACCGTCCAATTATCTCACAAATCTTTTTGTCAGAACTCACATAATTCTACTCACATTTTTTAAGTAGAATATGTGTTTAGACTATTTATAATTATTTCAGAATATATATTATATATTTATATATATATATATATATATATCTCATATATATATATATATATATATATATATACTATATATATATATATATATATATATATATATATATATATATATATATATATATATATATATATATATTATATATAATATATATTATATATATATTATTTAAATGAAAAAATTTTCTAACCGTTTGTTTGTTGAACGGCTGCGCGTCTTTGTGGCTTCAGTTAGATCCGGATGGGCCTTTGTGACAGATCGGCTCCATTTTTACCGAATACAAATGGTCTTAATTTTTAAAAACATCTAAAACATCTCACACACCTCTCCTTATTTAAACTCAGACTTACGCAAACCTCTTTAAACTCCGACTTACGCAAACCTCTCATTATTTAAACTCCGACTTTCATAAACCTCTCATAATTTAAACTGCAGACTTTCACAATTCCTCTCATTATTTAAACTCAGACTGTGAAACGACAGCGTGTAGCCTCGGGCCTGGAGTAAAAGTATCAGGATGATTACGCACGGTAGTATGACGCACAAAGGACTCAGGAGTGACCACAGAACTTCTCCACACTTTGGGAAACATTGCAATCCGTAAAACCTGAGCTATTCTCCTTTAAATTCAGACTAAAAACCTTGATATGAATGTGTCCTGAAACGTTCTTTATGTGTCTCCTTTCTACCCAACCGCAGATTTTGGGACGAAGCCATTGTCAAAAATATGCAAATGAAATATTAACAAAGAGCCGCGAGGAACAATGGCCTAAAACGCGTAGAGACGCACATTTCTGCACTTTTCATATTTTTATTCGTTCTGGACAAATACAGCCGCTTCACTCAAAGCGTCAGCGACCGCTATTCACCCACTCTCAGGGTTTTTCTCGCGTTTTTCTACAATTCGGCCTGATATCAGTGCCTGAGTCAGCAGCCGGGACCCATGGAGCTCCGCGGCCGCGTTCATTACGCACGGCGTTAGTAACAAATTATCACAAAAACAACTGTGCGTTAAAATTTCCTGATCCCTCTCCTGTGTCTGTGCAATCCGGGCGCAGCAGGATCCATTCTGAATAAAACGTTTTATCATTCGTTACATCAGGGAAAGTGTGTAAAAGACATATATATAGTTAACCGCTCACAAACCAAAACCTGAGCTTTTCCCTGAAGGAAGCTTGGAATGCGCTGAACAAATCTGAGGACAATAGTCTGAAGCAGCAGTGTCTCGGATGGACAAGTCTGGAGCCTGAAACTTTATTCAGTTCTGGATATAACTGTTGGCGCTAACTCTGGGGTCGAGCTTTGGAAAGTTATTCGACAAAAATGATCTGTTATTTCTTTGTGATATATGTCTTGTTTTCTCTTATTTGCGCGCTTTGACGTCAAATTTAATCTCGTGCTGCAAACTCTACTGTTTAAATTTTGAATTATTTGTGTGTTGCATTCTCCCGCATCTTTGTGGGTTCTCATCATTTTACGCAAATAATTGTGCGAGGACTTTTCCATATTCAACCTTATAAATTGAATTGAATAAATGAGTTTAGTTCGAAGTTGCGCCTGTGCGTCATTAATCTGTCAGATCAAAGTTAACGCAGACTTAATGCTTTTGCCGTGGCCTTATACACGCACCTGCAGACGGCCGGTCCGAGTAGCGGGTGCAGTACACCCATGCCGGCCACAGCGCTGGCCTCCCTCCGGGGCCGCTGCTCCTCTCCGCTTCACTCTCTCCATGGTCTTTATCCAGCCCCTGCACCTTCTCCACCTCCTCTTGCTCCTTCTGCACTTCCTCCTGCTTCTTCTGCACCGGCTCTGGCCTTCTCCTCAGGCCGAAGTCCGCGCGAAGGATCGTGTCTATGTAGAAGTTGGTGACCCGGTGCGCACACGGCTGCTCGGGCTGCCGTGCTCTCTGGCCTTTCGGCTCCATCCGGATGACAAAACCTGATGATTATTCCTGGTGATAATCCACAGAACTCCTGTACAGTGATGTCTGAGGATCTGTTTGAATCCTAAAACATAAGCAGTTAGGATCCTCAGCCCGTTCGCTTCAGCTCCAGTGTGTCTTGTTCATGAGTTGGTGGTGCCAACACTACTTTACTATATTTGGCAGAGGCTCATCTGTGATTGGCTGGAGCGGCTGGGGTTCCTCTGAAGACACGTGCCGAGAGCCAATGGGAGTGGAGGGCCAAGGTCACGTGAAAAGCAGTGAATGGGGAACTCCGGAGTAGTGTTTACGAACGGTTGAGCACGGTTACGTCGAGTGAATGCGTCCTTCGTCTCCTTTGCAGCAATATGAAGACACAGTCTGATGAACTGCCTGTATTTACGTTTTGTTAAAAAAAACATACCTCTCATTTATTTGTTTCTTCATTCATTCAAAGGCTTATTCATTCACCCTTACCCTTAATTCTACTGCCTAACTCATGCCACGAAGTTACATATAAACAATGAGATGCCGGCTCAGACCTCGTCGGCCAAACAAAGTCTTTAGGTGCTGGGGAACCAGAGCACCTTGATGAGTGATGGGCTACTGGAACAAGGCGAAAGTGCACAGGATGCGAGAATACGGCTCTGTTGGAATGCTACAACTCTGTAGTAACTCTGGCCAGAGAGGTTACATGCGCAGAATATGGGATGAATGGTTACTTCGAAACCCTCAAACACATTACCCCGAAACAACTAGTAACAACTATGCCCAGAGAGTAAGAAGTCCTACCTAGTCCTATGCTGCTTTCTGACCGCCAATGCTGGAACGCTGGAGTCTCGCTCACCAGACGCACATTCTAGTTTTCAGACGCAGGGGTCTTTAGACCAGAAGTTAAGCTGGCGGCTTTTTGTGTAAAGTTCATCTCCAATAAGGCAGCTCTGCAGTCTCTCTGTGTCTGGAAACCTTCCAGAGACTTTATATAACAGTAGTATGTGTTCACGGAGGTGCGGAATAAGTTTATTTTATTATTAAACAGTACTTCTGCATCGGCGAACACACTCGAAGCAGTTGCATAAAGTCACAGGAGCATGAAAATGCTCCAAGCACTATGTCCCCCATTGTCAACCCTGGTTCCTGGTGTAGCTCCTGTTTTGGCTGTTATCTCCTGCATCCGTCGATTTTCCGCTCCTGCACCTCCCCTTCGACTTTGCCGCACGTCTCTACTGAGCAGTCCGTGCGTGCATTCCGAGATGCATACGCGTTTTGACGCTCTAACGTGCGTTAGACTTTGCATTGAAAGCTGACGCAACGCATGATCTGGTCTGAACGCGGCACTAAGAAGCAGATGCAGAAGCAGTATGTATGTATGTATGTATATATGGATATGTATAAAAAATAAAATAAAACAATTGTCCACTCACCTTTGGCCCTCCGCGGGCGGTTATATATATATATATCAAATTTTATTTTATTAATTTTATTTTTGTTGTACATTTTATTTACTTTGGATCAAATGATGTGTGTATATGGAGTGTGTGGGTTTAGGGGGGATGGGAGGGAGGGTTTGGGATAATTGGTAATTTTCTTTTTTTTCCACCTTTCTGTTTAATATGTTATTATGAGACAAACAAAAATACCAAATAAACACAATAAAAAAAGAAATGAGATGAGAAGGTGCTGGAGGAGCGCCCATCATGGGAGGACAAGCCTCTACATGGCATGTACCTCCAGAACATAGCACGGCTGATTCTCAATATATATTTTATATATACTGAATAAATATATTAGTATATAGTATGCTCACCAGTGGGTCCTCAGGAGAGCCAGTCTTCATGATCGATTGCTTTGGTCTAACTCTCTGTAGCATTACATTGGGCGTAGGCCCTAAGGCCAGGTGGTCCCAGGCCCGCCCACTTTTTTGATTGGCCTCTGGCAAAAATTGTTGCACCCACTTTTCTCCGGGCCCGCCCTATTGAAAATTCTGGCTATGTCCCTGGCATTGGGTCAAAGAAATCAATGTAAGAACACTTTAAAAATAAATAATAAAGTAGGAAGAAAACAAAATTAGTACTTGAAAATAAAGTGGTGCATCCTCACTGATCCTCCTGTGGGTGGTGGTCATATTAACTCTCTAATGTTCACTCCTTGAAGAAAGCAATGTAATTTTTCTTTTTTGGATTTCCTTTACACAAATAATTTGTTTAATTTGTGTACACACACACACACTCAGGGTCCTGGACTCGTCGCAGCAGATGGAAGATGAGCTGGGTGACAGAGGTGTCAGACCTCTCACACTGGACACAGAGGAAGCCAGAGGTCACTTCCACCGCAGAGCAGGCTTCCCTCACACACATGAACACAGGCACACACAAACACTGCACACAGAGCTTATATTTTGTATGTTTCTAAGGTGTTTGTGTTGAAATCACTTTATATTTATCTATGCACTTATCTGTTAATGCAATGATATATGTCTGGATTTATGATGCCCCTGGCATCATGTAAAAGGGATTGTCTTTCTGCACTGAAAAAATAAAAACATTTTGAAATAAAAGTGAAAAGAGGGTTCATTCACTGTGGTTAATGTGAACAGAGAGTTCACTTACTACACTCACCGGCCACTATTAGGTACACCTTGCTAGTACCGGGTAGGACCCCATTTTGCCTTCAAAACTGTCTTAATCCTTCTTCGTGGCATAGATTCAACAAGGTACTGGACACATTCCTCAGAGAGTTTGGTCCATATTTGATAGCAACATGCAGTTTCTGCAGATTTGTCGGCTGCACATCCATGATGGGAATCTCCTGTTCCACCACATCCCAATGTTGCTTGGATTGAGATCTGGTGACTGTTGAGGCCATTTGAGTACAGTGAACTCGTTGTATTCAAGAAACCAGTCTGTGATGATTTGAGCTAAATGACAAGGTGTTTTAACATGTTGGAAGTAGCCATCAGAAGATGGGTACACTGTAGTTATAAACGGATGGACATGGTCAGCAACAATACTCAGGTGGGCGGTGACATTGCAACAATGTTCAATTGGTACTAAGAGACTCAAAGAGTGCCAAGAAAATATCCCCCACACCAGCACCACCCCACACCACCACCAGCCTGAATCGCTGATACAAGGCAGGGTGGATCCATGCTTTCATGTTGTTGACTCCAAATTCTGATCCTACCATCAGAATGTTGCAGCAGAAATCGAAATTCATCAGACCAGGCAACTTTTTTGCTTCACTTTACTGCTTGTCACCCTATTGCCCTATACCTTTCAATGTATATTGTACATAGTGACTGTAATTGTAAGAATTCTGTAATAATTCTATTTCAAATTTTATACCGCTGTGTGTATGCTAATTGTTATTATTTTTATTATGCCTTACTCTATTCTCTATTCTTTACCTCTCTCCTTTGACTGTAGCACTGAGCCAAAGCAATTTCCAAGTCTGTGACTTCCTGTTACTTTCGTGGCAATAAAAATCATTCTGATTCTGATTTTTCAGTGGCCCAATTTCAGTAATTCTATGCAAATTGTAGCCTCAGTTTCCTGTTTCTAGCTGACAGGAGTGGCACCTGGTGACAGTGACACGCACGCTCAGTGATACACACACACACACAGTGATATACACATCGTTTACAAGACAATATCACAATATAAACACCACCTGTATTACAGAGAAATCACAGATAGGGGCTTCCGTAGTTGCCTGACGCGATGTAAGGAGCGCATAGGAAACTCAAGGTGGAATACCTCTAACCTAAAAGAAACTGCTGAATACTATTCTACGAATCAATGCCTAAAACTCTCTCCTATAACCTAATAAAGTCATGAGCAAGAAGAACCAAATCTCAGGTGCTACCAAGACGAGAGCGGCAACGGCAGCCGCGACAGCTCGCACCATGGCTAGTCAAGCATTAGCTGCCAGTGGAGAGGAAGCTAATGATAGCCGCGCAACACAAAATACCAGTGAGGATGCCTTCTCTATGTCATTTCTCATGACTGAACTTGCTAAACTCCAAGCCAATACGCACGCCCTGATCCAGGAATCAATTAAACCGCTTCAAGCCACTGTGGACTCTTTGAACGAGAATGTTAAGGCTTTTCACACGCGCCTCGCAGAAACTGAGGTTTGTGTGGGAGAAAACTTTGAAAAAAATAACTGAAGTGGACATCAGAATCCAGGCTCTGGAGAGGCATAACAGCGCTCTTCTGAACAAGGTAGAAGACTTGGAAAACCGGTCGCAAGGAGCGAATCTGCGCATACCTAACACATTCTTGAGAAAAGCGAGAATGGTAAAGACAACATAGCATTTCTTGGTGATTTGCTAAAAGACGCCATGGGACCAGACGTATTCCCATCACCACCCGAACTAGAGAGGGCACACTGCACAGGACTGGCCACCGGAAAATTCCCTAGGCCATTCATCACCTCCTTTCATCGTTACCGGGATAAGGAAGCGGTGTTGCGATGGAGCAGACACAATCAGATGAAGTTTGAGGGCAACGTATTACGAGTCCACCCGGACCTGAGTGCTGCTCTGGGGAAGGAGTTTAAACCTATTAAAGCACTACTCTATACAAAGGGGGTGCAGTTCCATTTGCTAAACCCAGCTCAGCTGAAGATTGTTCCTAATGGAGAGAGCCGCATGTTCAGCTCCAGTGAAGACGCCACTGTCTACTACAAGCAGTACATAGCCTCTGGCTGAAGACATCTATAGGTATGAAACTTCTACAAGCAGCACATGGCCTCAAGCAGAAGATAACGTTTGGTATGAGACTATGATTACGTTTGAACAGATATGGATAAATAGGGTGTAGGGAAAAAATAACAATAATAATAACTATTATTTATTTTGGTATTGAACAATTTATTTTGAAAGGGGTCTGCACATTATCTATACATGCCTTTCCTGATTTGTACCCCAAATGAAAAGCAGGGTTTATACAATATCTTTCAGTTAACCTGACTTAGTTTAGTTCAAACGGGGATTTCACTCGGGGTGTAAAAACATCAAAGTAGGAAGAATTAATGTTAAAGAAGGGGCGGTCTTGCCTGGGTGGCAAGAAATGGTAGGGAAGGGGGCTAAACTGGGATTTTGGGTTACCCGTCTCCATATCTAGATTTCTAAAATGTTTTTATCTGTATGGGTTATTTTGGCTCCCTGGCATTGATTCAACTTTTCTCAAGTGATAAAGAAATTGTACCTGTCTAATCGTACCAACAACAAAAGTAAAATATGGGAATGAAGTTGGTTTCCTGGAATATCTCAGGTTGCAACCACCCAATTAAATGTATGAAATTTCTCAACTATCTTAAAGAAAATTAAATGTGATATAGTATTATTACAACAAAATTTGGATAAAATGAGCTAGCAACGCTTAGGCTAGCAACTTCCAAACTAGAACTCTCTGGAACTGCATGAAAACTGAAAAAAGAATTCTGAACATCAGCGGTGAGTGACCCATACATAAACCTAACCTAAATCCATAATTCGATCCTCTGCAAATATGTCCTAAAATGTGCCAGTATCTACTTCCGGGTTTTTCGGGATCGCCTTTTCTCGCATTACATCAGTGTTTTTGTCATGAAAACGGAAACAGAAAATTCTTAAAACTTCTGTGCACTTGTATCAATAATGTATATGTATAATGTATTCTCCGATTAATTTAATTGCGTTGATTGATTGGCATTTGCGTTTATTGAGCGTGAAAAACTCCGGAGTGGCCGGAACTACTTCCGGGTTTTTCACGATCGCTTTTTGACACAGAGAAATAGTATTTTTGTCATGAGGACAAGACCAGAAAATTCTGAAAGTCTCTGTGCACGTGTGTGAAGAATGTATATGTGGCAAGCTGGACTTGGCCATCATATTTCTGTCCAGTAGAGGGCGCCTACGCCCAGTATAAATGGCCTAGATTTACGTCTTTTGTTTACCTCTGCACTTCTGTCCCCTGTGTGTCGTTGCGCCAGCCCTTCTCCTGCTCCAGGTAGTGAAGTTGCACAGTGTTAATTCTAATATTGGTATGTTGCAACCGCTAATGTTAACAATTGTTGTAGTGCCGCGGTGCGGCATTGTGCCCCGCGAACCCTGCTCCTGTGTAGCCATGCTGTTCTGTCACTTTGGCGTCTGGCCACCTTCGTTGGGGTCCGAGTGTGTCGTAGCCGGCTGTGGGTCTGGCCTTTAAACCGTCACCCGTCAAGGGTGTGTGCTCGGCAATTGCTGTATGAAAGTAGGTTCTAACTGCACACACTAACAGCATTGTGGTTACTCGTAAGTTAACTCTATTTTACCCATAGGCTGGAGGACTGGCCACATCGCGGCCCACCGCTGTTTCTCCTGCTGTCCCTCGTTTCTCTCCCTGTTCTGTTTCTTTCTGTGTTCACCTGTGCTCCTGAGTCCATCGTGACTGGAAGATGGGCTCGTGTGAAGTAGATGTGACTCATAACAACCTAGTGAATGACTAGAAATGAACTAAACATAATGTAGAATAATAAATCAAAGTATACAGACTGTCTGCCTATGCCTCCTTAATGATTTAACGAACTTGTGCGCCTTAGAGCGCTTTTTATTTTATTTTGGGCACTCTGCCCTGGCGTTGCTGGTTTTTCTTTCTTTTATTTCATTTGTCATTATTTTCGGAGCGCGTAGCAGCCTCCACTCTGCCACATATATGTATAAAGTATTCTCCGACTAACATTTAAGTGTGTTTATTGAGCGTGGCTAGCTCCAGAGTGGCCGGAACTACTTGCGGAGTTATCCACGCATTTGAAATACAAGCAGCGGTCATTATTGTTTTGAGAGGTCCGTTATAAAAAATAATGACCGGTAGAACGTTTTGAAATTACATTCAAATCAATGGAGTATTCTACTGCTGCTGTGAGGAGCCGTGTAATAATAATATATGTAAAACATTGAAAGACACTGGTAATGAAAATACTAGGAGGAGATTTCAACCGGGTCAGAGATCCTATGTTTGATGAAACAAGTGGCATAAAAAACATATCCTCTTGCAGTGTGATAGATATAATGACAGAAGAACTTAACTTGGTTGATATATGGCATTTACTTAACCCAACAGAAAAAGACTTCACATTCTTCTCCCATCGTCACCAATCATTCTCTAGAACATTGTATAGCGCTTTGGGTGACCTTGGTCTGTAAAATGTGCTATATAAATAAACATTACTTACTTACTTACTCTGACCCTCATATGTCCTGGGAGGCCTTCAAAGTGGTTCTAAGAATTGGAATTATTCAACACTGTTCAATCCTTAAGAAAAAAGTGCAGGAGCAATTACTAAACTTTGAGAAACAACTAAAAGAATTGACTCTACAATACACAAAAAAGATGCTAATCTATGGAGAAAAAAAAAATCATCTCACTGAAGTTTTAAAACAATTGTATTATACAGAAAAAAAGTAGAACTAGATATTTTCCGCTCAAAGCAAACAAATTATGAACAAGGGGAGAGAGCGGGCAAACTGCTCGCTAGTTAAACAGCAGGCAGTATAGAGTATTATTCCATCTATACTAAATAATGAGGACATACCGGTCACTTTATACAGTGCCTTGCGAAAGTATTCGGCCCCCTTGAACCTTTCAACATTTCGCCACATTTCAGGCTTCAAACATAAAGATATAAAAATTAAATTTTTTGCCAAGAATCAACAACAAGTGGGACACAATCGTGAAGTGGAACGAAATTTATTGGATAATTTAAACCTTTTTAACAAATAAAAAACTGAAAAGTGGGGCATGCAATATTATTGGGCCCCCTTGCGCTAATACTTTGTAGCGCCACCTTTTGCTGCAATTACAGCTGCAAGTCGCTTGGGGTATGTCTCTATCAGTTTTGCACATCGAGAGACTGGAATTCTTGCCCATTCTTCCTTGCAAAACAGCTCGAGCTCAGTGAGGTTGGATGGAGAGCGTTTGTGAACAGCAGTCTTCAGCTCTTTCCACAGATTCTCGATTGGATTCAGGTATGGACTTTGACTTGGCCATTCTAACACCTGGATACGTCTATTTGTGAACCATTCCATTGTAGATTTGGCTTTATGTTTTGGATCATTGTCCTTATCATTGTCCTCAAAGAGTGATCATTGTCCTCATCAACAATCATCATTGTTGGAAGATAAATCTCCGTCCCAGTCTCAGGTCTTTTGCAGACTCCAACAGGCTTTCTTCCAGAAAGCCTGTTGACTCAGATCCCTACAGGATCTGGGCCAGATCCTTTACAAACATGAGTCTGCTCATCCTAACGCAGTCATCATTGTTGCTGGGGATTTCAATAAATGTAATTTAAAGACTGTACTCCCGAACTTTTACCAACATGTGACTCAAGCTACAAGAGGAGCACATGTTCTGGATCACTGCTACAGTAACGTGAAGGGAGCTTACAGGTCCAGTCTCAGACCTCCTTTTGGAAAGTCTGACCACTCCTCTGTTCTTCTTCTTCCTTCGTATACTCAGAGGAGCAGGGAACATAAACCAACCTCTCGCACTGTGCAGTGTTGGTCTGAGGAGGCTAGCATGAAGCTACAAGGTTGTTTTGATGCTACGGACTGGTCTGTGTTTCAGTCAGAGGACGTCAATGAATTCTGTGACGCGGTGTCTGGATACATGCGCTTCTGTATTGACGGCTGTGTCCCACAGAAGGTCATTAAAGAACATTTTAGTCAAAACCCTTGGATGAACGCGGAAGTGAAACTGAAACTTCATGAGCGTGCGTTGGCGTTTCAATCAAATGATACAGTTGCTTATAAGCTATCCTGTTACTCATTGAAACGTTCTATTAAATCTGCAAAGCGCAGTTACGGGGACAGGTTAAAGAGTTATTTTGAGGAAGATGACCCTCGGCGCATGTGGAACGGTATTAAAGCCATCACATCGTGGAAACCGATCGCTGGGAAAATAGCATCTGTCGGCCAAGCTCTGCCAAACGAGCTGAACACGTTCTACTGTCGCTTTGAATCCGCTGATGCCTGTCCTACTGTATTCCCCTGTGTTTCAATCAAGGTACCTTCACCGTGACTCAGGAGGAAGTCAGGCGTGTCTTGTCCAGGACCACAGTCCGGAAAGCCCCAAGCCCGGACGGCATCCCTCCTCGTGTCCTGAAACTGTGCTCTGAGCAACTTGCCCCTGTGCTAACAGACATTTTCAACCTGTCGCTAAGGAACTGTACTGTGCCGAACTGCTTTAAAGAGTCGACCATCATTCCAGTTCCTACGAAAACTCCTGTGACATGCCTGAATGACTATCGTCCTGTGGCCCTCACGTCTGTTCTTATGAAAACTTTTGAGCGGCTTGTGCTGGACTTCATTTAGAGCCAGATCCCTGTGAGCGTTGACCCACTCCAGTTTGCTTACAGACAGAACAGGAGTGTGGAGGATGCCATCTCCTTTGCTCTGAACTCTGTCTACAGTCACTTGGACACTAGTAAATCTGTCGCGAGAATGCTTTTCATCGATTATAGCTCTGCTTTTAACTGCCTTGTCCCAGGTAAACTGATTGAAAAGCTCATGTCTCTCGGTTTAAGTGTTGCCATGTGTAAATGGATTTTTAGCTTTTTAACTGACAGATCTCAGAGAGTGAAAATCAATGACTGTTTTTCTGACGTTGTTTCTGTGAGCACTGGTTCTCCTCAGGGATGTATTTTGAGTCCTTTGCTTTTTACTTTGTACACTCACGATTGTGTGTCCTC